TGAGCCCGAGCGTGGAGCAGGAAGAGTCGTTGCGGCCTCCACACCTACCTGAGACACTTGACCACCATGTCCAAATCCACCAGGTAGGAGATAGAGTAGGGCTTGCCATTATCCAGAGTCTCCAGCGCCTACAAAAGAGCAGCGAGATTGCCTGAAGAGCCAGGTGGGGAGAGTCACGCGTATAGATTCAGATTCGATTCTCCATTTGTGCTTTGGATCAGTTCTGCATGTTGAGCATTGCGCTTTCAGCTTCCCAAAACTAAATCCCCATCCCTTGAGGTCTCTCTCACAGTTTTAGCTGTGGCTGAATTCCCCCTCACACCCGATGGGCCCAAACCCCGCCCCCCGTCTCCTCCTCTTGTTCCCCCAGGCTGGGGACCGCAGAGCGCGATACGCACCGCCAGGTAAGCCCGGTCCCTCTCGATCAGGTCAGCAAGACGATTCAGCAGCTTCCCCCGATGAGAAGCATCCATCCTCCTCCAAGGCGAGCCCAGCTGGAAAGCTGCCTTGGCTGCCTTCACCGCCTTGTCCACATCTGCCTGCGGAGGAGCCCAGGCATGGGAGTGAGAACCAGCCCCCCTCGCGCTCTCGCGATACCGCTGAAGCCGTCCCCAGTCTCCAGGAGAAGACACAAGTGGCTGCTAGTACCAGCCTTTCTCAGGGCAACAACTCGCAGCCTTGACAGCTGCCTCCCTGCAAAGACACTCATCAGTCCCAGGGCAGGGGAGCGCAGGGGCTGCCGCCCCTGGGCCACTTGCCCCACGAGCATCAAACCGGGCACAGCTTTCTCACCCCGGCTGCACCCGCGGGGAAGAGGGAGCTGAAGCGGCAGCGAGACGGGTGGGTGCAGCAGCCACCACCTCCCCCTGTGCTTACTCTGCCATTTCTGCTATGCAGAGTGCAAATATTGTCAAGTTATTTCCGCAGTGTCACGTGCTGGGTTAATATTTGCATCCTAGAACGAGGTATGGCAAAAGCTCTGGAAATGGGCTTTTGACACACATCAGGACTTGATTTCGCCAGCACACTCTGAAGAAGGTTTTTTTTCTTGATCGGGTATGTCTAATCCATCATTTTGTCCTGTCAGGGCATTAACTGGTTTCGAGCTGGTTCTCTGTTCTAGCTTGCTGTAATGGTCCCGCCAGGACAAGCCAGACTACCACAGACAAGCAAAAACAAAGGGTTTCCCTCACTCACCCCTCCCTTGGGGAACACAAACAAGTTTCCAGACAGTAGAAAGAACCCCAAATTACTGGGAAACACCACCTCAGCTCTGCCACAGACTCCTAGGAGGGCCTTGCATAAGGCGTGGGATGATTACACGACCATCTCTTTCTCTTTTTTTCATTTCCTAGGGCTGGGGACAGTCTCCCACTGCACGTGGGGGCTGTTCAGGGGAATCCTGCCCTTTTGTCTCCTCTGGGTCACACCCCCAACACAGCACCCACGGGACCACAAAGGCCCCAGCAACCTCCCCCCACAGCTGCTCCCCGACCTCCCCGCTCAGGCTCCGCTGCGCACCACAGCTGTTCCTCTCCACCTTTTCCAGTCCCAGTTCGGCACTGGTAAGAGGCAAAGCCAGAGGGTTTTTTCGTTGAAAGCAGTAGTTAAGGAAGAACACAAGCAGCACTCGATGTGGTATTTGTATTGCTCAGACATTTACTGCCGCAAATGCAGCACACGGCAGAGCTGCCGTGGTGGGGGGGGATGAGTTAATGCCTCCCTCTGCCGTCCCCGCGTACCTGCTCACGCAGAAAACAAACCCACCCCCTCAAGAGAACATTTACCTTATCGCCCTCAGCAACCTGGCAGATAACTTCTCCTGTTGCTGGATTGACAGAAGGGAAGGTTTTCTTACTGACAGCATCGTGCCATTCATTATTTATGAAAATCTGCAACAACAACAACAAAAAAAAGCCAAACAGCGTTAAGCCTCGGAGCCAGACCTAGGCGAAATCAGTGGGAGCCGTACTCATTTGCGGGATGTTTAATTAAAAGGGACTCAAACCTGTGTGGGCTCCAGGACTGCACCGGGGTGAAGGAGATATTTTAGCCTAAAAGCACAGACCGAAAGACGCAGCCTCAAAGCGAATAAGAAGAATTCACATCTCGGCAAACGGCATGAGGACTGGAAGCAGTTCCCGTCCCAGTAGGTCCCTGCAAGGCCTGGAAGCCTGGCTGGAGCCACACAGGGACACCGGGAGCCTCAGGAGACCCAACGGGGGGGAAAATGCTTCAGGCACGGACGATGCCGATGACTTTGTACTCAGCACGAAAGCTTGTGCGGCGATTTCCCTGGTTCACCAACTTCAGGCGCCGTTTCAAAACGGAACCAGGCGCCGAGAGCAGCTTTTCACCAACTCTTTCTTTCTCTTTAAGGGCAAACTTGGTTTTTGGGGTCCGTGCCAAGCGTCGGGGCAAAGCTCGCGGTGCTGGAGGCTCAGCCAGGGCCGCTCGGGAGAGGAACTCCCGATCCGCCGCAGCACCTGGCAGGGTGATGGCCCGGTGTCTTCGCCGGGGGTGCCGGGACGGGCCCTGATCCGTGCGGCCGTCCAGCACCGAGCCCGGCGCCTCCCTCCGCCCGCGCTCTCCCGTGGGGTTGTCC